TACTGCAATCACAGAAAAAAAAAGGAAGACAGAGATTATTCTATGGAAGTCCTTGCCACAGGACGCTACAAACATCTAAGAAGGATCCTATAAATTTATGGAAGATAGTTGTGTTGTGGATTGTTAAATGTGACAAGTCAGATGCAGCCACTTGTGCAGGAAGTCCCTAATCTTTTGTGTGCTGAAAGGTGGAAGCGTGTATTTGGAGAAGAGTAACTCTGCATGACCTATATAGTGGGGATACAGGGTTGGATGGACCCCCAGTCTATTTGGTTTAATCCAAGATGGCAATCCTTCTGTTTTTAGCCTAATCCATCTGGCTTTTTGATTAAAACAATAAACACCTCCACAGATCGTTTTCACATCAGTTTGACCCAGTAGAGGCAGATGTAAAGTAGAGCAGGGCCAGGTGACCAATAATGGAGTTAATAAGCCATCACTCTCTCTTTCCCAGTAAGCGCTACACATCTAGTTCACAGCACTGGGCAACCCAGAAGCATTCATGATGTCAGTCCACACTGTAATCACTCAAAACCCCCCATGAATCCAACAGGGCAAAACATTCTTGCTGTCAAGACACTACTAACTAGACAGCTCAGTGCAGTTTTGCCTGTCAAGGGTGAATAGATGTCGAACCTTTGCACACCCAGGCACCACATTTTCAGTGACTGCTATCAAACGACAAACTCTTCCTCCTGGGCAGCCGACTACAATTTTGGTGGTACAAGACAGAAAGCACAAAGACAGGAACTGTCCCAATTTGAAACATCCTGAACCAGCAAGGCAGATAGATCTAATCCCTACTTACCACTTACAAACACTTGCTTAACTCCTATTGTAGCCTGCGGGATTTAAGCCTATGCTTACAGTTATATATATGTGTTTAAAATATTTCAGTGAATTTAGTTTATTATAGATAAAGAAGCCAAGAGGGCAGTAAAGGAAACAGGGGTAGTGAGAAACTAAAAGTCAGTCCATGCTCACTGAAGCTACATTTTTCAGAAATCAGCAGACTTCTCTTTAGCTGGAAACCTATGCAAGAGAGAAAGTTGTTTTAAGGAGATTAATGTCCTCCTTGTGCCTTTTACCCCCTGGTACAGATTAAAGTACAGGTTCAGGAGAGAAGTGCATAGACCTGAATGACAAGAGACCACATGTAATTACAACAAACATAAAACAAATGAGAATTTTGTACAACACAATTCAAAGAAGAAATCTTTTAATTAAAAACTTAGAGACAAGGCATCTTGTTCATTGCAGTCACCTGAGCACACACTTTGTTATAGCCTTGATTAAAAGTGTATGTTGAAGTACTGCATAGGCTTCAAGTTCAGAGGGCAATCAGGGACAGAGGAGAATGTGGACTTTTTTTTTTTTTTCCTGTATTGATTCGTATCTTTATGTCCTTGGCCGTGAATATTTCTGCACAACTCAGTTTAATTCTGCAAAGAGTTTGTTCAGCCAGAAAATGAAGGAATAACTTAAAGCTCTCCTATTTAAATAAAAAAAAAATGCATTTTAAAAGATACAATTTAAAAACAACTGATACAAGTTTATTTTCATGAAACAAGGATGTTTTGGGTTTTTTTCTCTGTTAAGATTAAAGCTCATCACCTCAACTCCAACACAAGATGTGCTCCATTGGGAGCTGCCAGCAGACCACCTCCTGCAATAAACTTTGTGCAGAAAGACCTGCATCATCTTACAGAGCCCTTGTGCCTTCAGGAAAATGCATCTGTGCAGGACTCGAGGCAGCCAGGGGGGAGGACACATGAACATCTGGAAGATGGATTAGGTACATTCAGATTCCCCGATGGTTTGGATGTCCTTTCTAACCTGACACCACAGGTCACCAGTATGCCCAACACAGCGACACTTGTAAAACTGTCTTCATTACAAACCACCCTTTTTTCTTTTTCTCTTTTCTTCTCACACTCTCAATTTTTATAAAATTTGCAGTTTGGAATATAATTTTCCCCAGCTGGTTTGTTGCCAAAAATAAGTTTCCATTATTCCTTTTTTTGAGGCAGAGCATAAAAAGCTTCATCTGTAATTTGTAGCTGGGCACAGAATAGAGTTAGGTACTTGATTTCAACTTTTTCAAAATCGTTCTTACAGTTTGGATTTTCCAGAGCCTTTAATTTCACAAATGTCTTGTATATTTTTTTAAAATAAGGTATTAATAAAGAAACCTCACTATTAAGCACAGGGTTCAGTACATGTGCATCAGAAATACATAACTAAAAATGAAAATAAAATACAGATATGTGGGATTTTTCATGCAAGTGCATTTCATGCACGTCCATTTAGAAGAGCACCTATGTGAGGGTGAAATTCATTTAAGGTTATCTAAGTGTCAGCTCTTCATATGTATCACTTAAGTCTCATCAAGTTGGGGGGTTTTTTGCCTAATTATTACGTAGCTTTCTAAGCTTGCATGATCTGAATTACATCCAATGTATGAAATCATTAGTTCAAGGTGTTTGTGAGCTTTACTCACCAAGCAAAGGACTCAGCTCTATTGTTCCTGGTCCTCTTTTATCTTCTTCCACTTACCCCTCCCCTTCCCATCCTTATTTCATTTTGTCTTTGAACTTTAAAGAAGAAAAATACTATACATAAAATGCTGCATCAGAACACCATTAAGGTGGCAAGGTCAAAAAAATCTTACAAATACAAACGTTAATGTTCCCTAGGCACATTAATTCTGACACACTGCACATTATTATTTTTTATTCCCATTTTTCTTCACTACATGAATATTTTAGTAGATTAGTTCTAGTACACTAAGATATAGAGCACGATCAAATACATGTTTTTGAGAAGGAATACTGCATGACTTAAACTGTGCAACCTCAAAAAAAAAGTCACTACCATTGCTTGAGCATTATATCGTTTATGATAACAGCGACATGAAGCAGCAATACTCCGGGGCAGGTCTTACTTTGCAGATGTTGAGGTCCAGCCCCACCAGGATTTCATAAATCTTGCTAAAATCTTTCTCTGTCTTTGTGCCATAAAGTGTCAGAAAACAGATTGGCTGTGCCTTATAAATGAGCCTCTAAATTCCTCCTGTGTGCCCCTTCTCATGCTCTGGCCTTTGAAATTAAAAGCAACCTAACAGTCTGTTTCTTACATACACTTTTAAAAGCTGAGCTATTGTTACTCTTCTGCAGTCGAATAGCAGTAAGTTTGGTGAGCTTTTAGTCTCTCTGC